GCCTAGAAGACGTGGCAACATAACTTGTGTCGCGGCGTTCTGTAAACATAAAAAACTGGGCCAACACCAGAACTACCTGGCAATGTCGCACGCCGTTTTCCAAACACACACGCGAATCCGTCACGTGAAAAAAAATGGCCGCGATTTTGTGTCCTCTACCAGGGGTCGTGTCCAAATGCCTATCAACTTAATGTTCTTTTTGGACGGATATTATATAAAAACCAGTGTCTACCAGCATCAGTGTCAGCCTTGCAACCCCGCACCTACGTATGCTAAGCTACATAATCAAATCTACGCGATGTTCTGTTTTAAACTCGTTTGAATTTGTTTAACTCTCGCCCATTTCTTTAACCACGAGTCGCATGCACGTGTAACACGTTTATATCTCTCTCCCCCCCCTCCCCCCCCTCCACCCTCCACCGTCTCTCTACGCATGGAATCTTTAAAGTCACTGTCAGCATGAGACAAACTGAGCCGACACAAACACGCACCATCACATCCCCATGCTCACTGGCCATAACGTCACCAGATACGGGGCGTTTTGCCGTCGGTCCTGATTGGTGTACGATGGGGACCGGTCGGTTGCCCACCAGCTGTCTGCTATCACAGAGTCCTGCCGTTCGCAGGCCCGAATGAGGTTTTGCGTTTCGGGCGTTCATTGCTGTCTTATTGTGATCTATGCAAAACACCATAAATGTGCGACAATGTTTAGCTGCCTGTCATGCGTATTCGGAACCGGCCTACTGCAACGAAATGTTCGTGATAGCACTGAAGTCTATCCAGCGTGTGCTGGATTTAACCAGCAGATAAGACGTGCGACCGACTCATCGTGTTGGAATATCGTCGGCATACCACAGCCACGCCGCCGAATCATTGACAGACGGGCTATTTTGAGCCCGAAGTGGCGCACCACCACCATCTGACCGATGGGCTGGCGGGGCAGAGGGCGTGGCGGCGGCGCCTCCACGCCCGGAGGAGACCCCCGCCCGGCCGCCGGCCAGCTGCTCACGAACAGCGCATGCAAGCGGACATCCACTGCGCGCACACCTGTCGTCGCAAATAAAGCCGCTGTCAAAACGAATTCCAAGCAGGAGAATCATCTCGGTTTTGTTCAACCGAGCGCCCACGTCAGACCAAAATAAAAGGAGGTCAAATGCTAGGCCTCCTCCCAAAATAGATAGCGGACGCAGGGCTACTGCAGCATGACAATGAACACCAGGACGTCCAAGCCCACACTACCGTCATCAGGGAACGCCGTACTCTAGGCCTAGCCACTTTGGACGTGCGTAAAAATAGACACAAATGCTACCTCTTGCACTGCGCAACTATTTCTCCCATTTGAGTAGCTTCAAACTCTGTTGCGGTGCAATACAGATACTTGCATCAGTTTTCCATGCATACACAACAACTGCATTCTTGAATAGCGCCTTAGCCGCAAGTGTACAGACAGCTGACTGGCAATTTTGTCACTGCGTGACGTCATGACCGGACAAGCCGGCCAACCAGATTGTAGACTCAGCCTGTAACCCGTATGAGATCACGTAACATGGCGTAACTTACGTCACACCACGTCATATCTAATATTATCTGTTGCAAACCACAATCAGACCGAACAAACTTGTCTGGTGTTAGCGTCCTTTTCAAGTTTTGCCTGGCATATTAACGAAGTGTTCGTCTACGCTCATCATTGATGACTGCGATTACCTCTGCGTGTACAAAACCATCGCCATTTTTTCGATAATCTCGAGCCTCATTTACAAGATCGCATCTAAAACATGTTTTAATGCCACGGCTTTTGTTGACATTGGAAACGACATTCACCGGGAAGACATGTCGAAGATGAAAAATGACGAAGATGGCGTTCATCTGCCTGGCCGCTCTTGTGTGTTCCCCTGACCTTCTCGGCTTATTTGGTGTTACTCTGACCTGATAAGGTCAAAACTGACAGACCAACGCGTCCTTGGTATTCCACTGACCTGGCCCGCCTTCTGTGTTACCATGAACTGCCCGTCCTTGGTGTTGCCCTGACCTGCCCGCGACATTGATGTTGCCCTGACCTGCCCGACTTTGGTGTTGCCCTGACCTCGGCCACCCTCGATGTTCCCCTGACCTGTCCGTGCTCGGTGGCTCCCCTGACCAGACAATCCTCAGTGCATCCTGCCTGGCCGTCCTCAGTGCTCCCCTGATCTGTCCGTGCTCGGTGCTCTCCTGACCCGGCCGTCCTCAGTGCTCCCCTGACTTGGCCGTCCTCAGTGCTTCCGCTGACCTGGCCGTGCCCAGTGCTCCCCTGACCTGGCCGTCCTCAGTGCTCTCCTGACCCGGCCGTCCTCAGTGCTCCCCTGACCTGGCCGTCCTCAGTGCTCCCCTGACCAGACTGTCCTCAGTGCTCCCCTGACCAGACATCCTCAGTGCTCCCCTGACTTGGCCGTCCTCAGTGCTCCCCTGACCTGGCCGTCCTCAGTGCTCCCCTGACCAGACTGTCCTCGGTGCTCTCCTGACCCGGCCGTCCTCAGTGCTCTCCTGACCAGACCGTCCTCAGTGCTCCCGCGGCCGGGCGCGCCCTTCCGCCGGGCAGTGGGGCGGCCGGAGCCGGCGCGGGGTCGGGTCAGTCAGAGGCCGTGATTCAGGTGGCCAGACCGGAGATGGTGCGTCAGCAGCGGCCGGCCGGCTCCCGGCCTCTCCGCCAATACAAACACCCCCGGCCCGAGCCCGGCGCGTCAGCCATCGGTCCTGATCAGTGGCCAGACGGCGAGCGCGTGTCAGACCGGGGTCACGGCGCCGCCCGCCCCGCCGAGGTCGCTAGCGACACCGACTCCAGGTCAATTTGATCTCTGTGTGGGTTGAGTAAAACACACATGTTTTTAAGACAACAACATGTTTTTAAGTGACAAATCACCTCACCTTCAAGAGCGTGCAATCAGACCAATGGAGAGAGGTAATGGCCGCGCGACAGCGGTTCGCAGGCCGCACCGACGTCAGGTGGCTGGCAGACGGCTGGTGACCGGACACGGCCAGCGACGTGGCCCACGGTGGAGAGCCAAGGGCGGGCGACCCGGCGTCGGCCGCGGCGCCAGCGGCCCGTCGGCCGCGGCGGCGGCGGCGGCGGAGGCTTCACTCGGCGCGGCCGGCTCGGGGCGCGCGCACCGCCCGCCCGGCAGCTGGGAGCCGCGTGTCTGACCCGCCTTCGGACCGCACCAGGCCCAGCTGAGAGAGCCGCTGCCTCCGCGGTGCCACAGTCGGCGACGGTACGCACCAGCGGTGCGTGCACCACCAGCTGCCTACGCACCAGTCGGCCGCAATTGAGGCGGCGGCGACTGTCGGCCGCACGGGAGGAGCCGCGTCCAGTGCTCGCGCCAATCGGGGCGGCCGAAGTCACAAACCGCCTCCAACCAGGTATAGGACTGGCAGTGGTGGCGGTGGTGAGGACTGTCCGTTCGAATCAAGGCTTTCTTACTCATAACGAAGAAGATGGTTGGCAAGAGATCAGTACTCAAGAGCAGACCTACAGACGCTGCTGCGAAAGATGTGACCAAGATCCCCAACACGGACGGCTTTGACGGAGGAACATCGACAACGGCAAAACCGAAGACGGAGAAGCGGATCCGGTGGCGGTCCGCTGAGGTAGCCCGGTCGCCGGTCCAGCTGGTGCGGCGAGCCGACAGCGTGCGTCACAAGCCGTCGCCGGTCGACGATGCCGTTCGCCTGCCGAAGCGAGTGTCCAGCCCGAGCCCGGGCCGCGCGCCGCTCGCCTGCAGCCCGGAGCGACGCGCCACGCAAGAGTTGGCGTCGCCGCGCAGCCCTTGTCCGTTCGAGGAGTGCGCCGAGTTCCGCAGCCGGCCACCGAGCCGCCGCACGACAGGTGACGGAGACGGCGGCCAGCTCGACGCACCCAGCTGCGCCATCGTCGCCGCTGCGCGCCTGCCGCGCCGGCGACTCGGCCCCGCCGATCAGTGGCGCGCCGTGCGGGCCGAGCTGCGCGCTGCCGAGGCGGCGCGCCGTCGCTGGGAGCCCGGTGGCGGCGGCGCGGCGGCGGACGTGCTGCCGGCCTGCGCCGCACCGGAGCCAGCCGCTGCAACCCGCGGGGCGGCGGTCCGGAGGACACCTGCTCGCATGACGGCCCCGAGCCGTCCGAACACGCCCTGCGCGCCGGCTACGCCTGGCTGCCGGCCGGCCTGCCCGAGGGCGCTGCAGCCGAGACATGCAGCAGTGCCGGAGGGTCGGAGGCCGCTGCTGCGCTCGCCGGCCAGCGGGAGCGCACACGCCGCCTGCTGCGCCAGCTGCCGGCGCAGGACCTGTCGCTGGCCTGCTGCCGGCACGTCTCGGCCCGGAGGGCCGCGTTCACCGAGTGGTCGGCGTCGCGACGCCGGCTGGCGCTGGAGGCCGGCGCGGTGATGCGGCTGCCGGCCGCCGCCGCCTGCCACCAGTGCCGCCAGCCGCTGCCGGCGGCCAGCTGGCCGTCACGGCCGCGCGCCTGCCCGGCGCCGCCTGGCACCCGGCCTGCTTCGTCGCGGCGACTGCGACCAGCCACTGGCCGACCTCGTCTTCTGCGAGCTGGCCGGCCGGCTGCTCTGCCCGCGCCACCACGCCGACCGCCTGCGGCCGCGCTGCGCCGCCTGCGATGAGCTCGTGTTCGCCGGCCATACGTGCGCCGCGCTGGCCTCGCTGGCACAGCGAGCACCTGGTGTGCGAGCGGTGCGAGGCGCCGCTGTCCGGCCGCCAGTTTGCGCTCCGGCACCAGACCCCGCTCTGTCTGCCCTGCTACAGCGAGGCGGGCGCGCCCGTCTGCCACGCCTGCCAGCGGCCCATCGCGCTCGGCTGCCGCCAGCTCTCGCACGCCGGCCGCCACTGGCACGCCGCCTGCTTTGCGTGCGCCACGTGCGCGGCGCCGCTCGAGGGCCGGCCGTTCGCGGTGCGCGCCGGCCAGGCCCAGTGCGCCGGCTGCCTGGCAGCCAGGGGGCGCCCGGCTGCGACCGCTGTGGCCGGCCCATCACCCCGGCCAGCCGCAGGTGGCCTACAAGGCGCTCCAGTGGCACCAGGCCTGCTTCGTGTGCTGCGTCTGTCACGTGCCGCTGGGCGCGCGCACCTTCCTGCCCAAGGAGCAGCGGCTCTACTGCCCGCGCTGCTACGAGGAGACGTTCGCGGCGCGCTGCCGCCGCTGCGACGGCACCATCACCAGTCTGGGCGTCACGTACCAGGGCGACACGTGGCACCGCGAGTGTTTTGTCTGCGCCAGCTGCGACGTGCCGCTGGCCGGCCACAAGTTCCGCAGCCGCCAGCAGCGGCCCTACTGCGCAGACTGCTACACTCGGCTCTTCGCCAAGCGCTGTGACAAGTGCCGCGGCCCTATCGCACGCGAGCCGGGCACCCGATACAGCGTCTTCCAGGAGCGCAGCTGGCACAACGCCTGCTTCACGTGCGCCACGTGCGGCACGTCGCTAGTTGGGCGCGGCTTCATCGACGCCGACGGTGAGCTGCTGTGCGCCACCGCCGACTGCGCGCGGCGGCGACTGGTGGTCGACGGCCCTGACATCTAGTGGGTAGGTAGTAGTAACTTTGAATTACGGTACTCGCTGCCCGTGGCGCGCTGAAGCGACGAATCGCAAAGGAGGAGAGGCGTTGGTGATAGATACCCTTTTCCCTCTGGCTCATCACGCTATTGTAAGTGGTCGTGTTATTGTGTTCATTTACCACCATTGCAGTTGTAATGAATAAAAAAGCGTTTGACTAATGGACTGGCAAGAGCTCTTTCAGCGATTGTGGATTCGCCAGTCGAACCGTTCAGTCCAACTATTTAGTTCAAGATTCACCAAGTTGATCGTTCAATTGATCCTATATTATTGCGTCTCATGACGACGACGTCGTCGTCATCGCCGTCGTCGTCGTCGTCGTCGTCGTCGTCGTCGTCGTCGTCGTCGTCGTCGTCGTCGTCGTCGTCGTCGTCGTCGTCGTCGACAATGATAACGATGATGACGATGATGAGTAAGATTATGACGAATGATGATGATTGGTGTTCTAGGGAGCGCTGACTGTGATGGTCATTTTGCGCACATAACTGCTAAGTGCTTACCATCGCTTGCAGATGGCTCAAAATCCTATGTCAACTAAAAATGAACCGTTTAATGAACAGCTGACCTGTAGCCTGTACCCCGTGAGAGCCGTTGTCAAGCATAGCAAAAAGGCAAGACGCGGAGCATTTCGACCGAAATGAAAAAGGCGGTCTTCGATAAACTCTGCATATGTGCGAACAACATGGCGAACGGTGAATGGTGCACTGAAAACGGGCATGCGTCTGGCAGGCGGCTTGTTGAGGATCTGATTCACCGTCGTGGGGCCACTCACTACGACAGCCCTCGTCGAATAACTGCATTATGGCGCAAAGAGACTCGCTGTGGCCTATTGATTTTAGGACTTGCTTACAAATGGAAGCGGCGTCTGCTGTGGCTATCTGTTTTAATTCAGCATGGTGCGGCCGAAGACTCAAAGCGTAGACCCACAAACCAAAGACGAAGGACAACGGTATCGACGACGATTGCCAGGGCCGGCGGCGCGGCGCCGGGAGGACAGGTAGAGGGGCAGCTACCCCTCACCTCCTCCATCTCCAAAACAAATACGTCAGTCTTAGGTGCCACATGTAGAGAGGAGAGTCACTTCTTTCTTGGTCTTCTTGGATGCGTTGGCGACGGCGAACAATTCATGCCCCAAACGCACTGTTTTCTTGGCATCGGCAAGAAGGGTATTGAGCTACTGGTTTTGAACAATATGAGTCTGAAGTTGTTACACTGTAATCATACACATTTCTTTCTTCATCCAATATACCATGATGCTGGATAAACGACGTCAACAGGCCACATTGATTGTCTCGTCAAAACACCGCGTTTCAAGCTGTGTTCGTGGCCACGAGTGACACCTATTTCCTGGATGACAGAGACCTAACGGCACCACGCGACTGGCAGCCATGGGTCACGCACGTGTGCCCGATCCGTTCGACAGCGGCACACTTCCGACAAGCTTGGCGGGAGCGAAATGATCACAGGCCTAGACTTCTATGTTTTTTGTTTTATCGCTCTGAGCCTGCTGCTGCCCGCCCCATCCAAACACCGCTCTCATTTGTTGTGCAGCTAGGTCGTAATTACCGGGTATGGGTCTCCGGCACGGATTGGCAAAGAATATGTACGTGGAGCCAGCGCGGCTCGCTTGGCAGCCACGCCAGCCAACACGTCCGCGATTACATCGTGACTACGTATTGGCACAAGGCGATTTGCTTTCCTTCCTATAAGTCGTTAGACGTGTTCCTGTAAAATGAAACAGTATAGATCAAGATACATCAAACATCAAAGGTCTATGAGTCAAACATAAAAGATCAAAGATCTCCGAGTCAAAAGACAGGTCCAGGAATCTGTTGCAGTGCGGCGAAAAGACCTCTCACCACGTTCTATGAAACAAAGCGCTTTGGTAATCAGCTCCCATGCCAACGCTGCCGCGTGTTCTGGTACCGGTCGGGTGACGTCACAGCCAGCCGACATGGCCGCAGTTTTTGGATTTATCAGAGCACAGAGTGCGCACTCCTCGTGTGACCCAGGACTCCGACGCCTGGATCTCAACATATCTCGGCATGACGCCATTTTCCCTGAGTTCTGTCGGCGGGTTGTCTGTTGAAGGACTTGCGAGGAGCAAATACGAAATGACGAGCACTTCGTAGCGTGAGCTCGTAGCCGTCGCCTCATGAGGCTATAAAGCTTTTAAGGCTTTCGCTCTTTTCCAAGGCTCGCACTAAGAAGGCGGCAGGCTGAGTGCGCTGTTCCAGTGCACTGGGGACAAAGCTCACCGCAGACAGTGACGAACAGCGCCACTTGCCCACGGTGCACCGAGGACAAAGCTCACTGAAGACAGTGACGAATGACGTCACTTGTCCGGCGAGACGCGAAAAGCCGCAACTTAGACCCAGAGCGCGCTCGAAAATTAGTTGGGGACCATTTTCCGTTTTAGTTTTACGATTCTCACGAATGGGGTTCATAGAAAGCGTTCTGCGCTCGCTATGCCCATCTAAGATATAAAGCACGCATCATCACAAGCCTTTTGATGGGAAGTTTGATACGCAAAATGCCCCCAAGAGCAAAACAGATCTTCCGAGCACACTGTTTGCGTGTTTTTGTTGTTGTTTGGTTGTTGTATCGTTGCATATGTTTGCTCTGTATTATTCGCTGCTGCCGCATGCCCGTTGCCCATCTCCCACCGCACAGCTGGCCGACTAACGATCAATGATATGGCCACAGACTGGTGAATGGCAGGTCTGCAAACAACATCGACAGGCTTGGCGTCGAACGTACGTTACGCGTTTGTAGTATCAGTGGCCATTCATCACCTACGTATAAGAGGTCAGGCAGGACAAAGCTCATCCAAACAGATGTTTTACCAATCGGTAACATCATCACAATAAACAAATATGAGGTTTCGACGGGCTGAACATCATGAGTAGTTGACCTCATCTAATTTTCAGGCAACAATAAATATTTACACGCTTAAGTGCTTGCTGAATGACGTGACGTTTTAGGAATTTACAAACCCCTCTCCCCCAAAAAATAACATACAACAATCCTGGGTCCAATGTCAGTCAGAACACTTTTTAAACAGATGTGCAACGGCATGACTTGGGTTTTGGTATTGCGCAAACCAGAACGTTAAGCTCACCCATGGTATTGTGAGTCATACGAAATGCAATTTTCGAACACATTACATGCGCTCGCAAATACCTCGCAATATTCCGGTTTGACTACACCCGCGACTTCATTGTTTGATCTCACGCCGTTAACCGAGTGACATTTTCTGTCGCATGACCTATAACTACCCATTGCTTCAGTAAAATAAAGCAGTCGTATCAATTTTCCTGCAGCATAGTGAAAATATCCTTGCACTATACTAGTTACAGGCCTTTGTGGTGGCCCCCACCACCCAACAGGCGTACCTGCAAAACCTTCCAGCTAACATCAGAGGGCTAGGAAGCCATGCACATTTGCGCGATCTCGTGCAAACAATAAACAAATATATATATATATATATATATATATATATATATATATATGTCACAATGTCTGCCATGTCCCAGCGTGCAATATAATACAATGCAATAGCGAACTACGTTCCTTTTCCCTGTCCCGTGTACGCTCACCTCAGGACGGGTTGTTGTAGCCTGATTATGCCTGCGCCACCTTTACTCAAGCGTCAGAATTAGAAGTTTCAGCAAGTTCCGCCACACGTCTGTGGCGCAGCTGTTCTCGTAGCGCCCGGGCTAATGAGCGCCACATTGCATTGTCCAGATTGTAGCCGTACTGGGCCTCTCCTCGTGACCCCCCGCCAGCGTCGCAGGATAAACGGAGTAGAATCCGAACACTTCCCCAATTTGCGATCGACACCACTTACCTTGACGGCAGCTTCCGACCCTAGCTCGTGGAAGTCCTTGTACTTCATCACCTCGGCCATGATGAAACCCTTCTCGAAGTCTGTGTGTGAATCCGGCCAGCAGCCTGGGGCGCCTTGGTCCCGGCCTGAGGACAAGGTTCAGACGGCACAGGTCACGCCAATGCCACGCCAGGAGATAAGCCAGCCGCGGAAAAAAACACACCGCATTTGTCTGGCGCTTGAAATATGCCAACCATGTCACAGAAGTCTCACTCCGTGAACATCACCTGGTATGGTGCATCGCATGACCTGCTTGAAAATCATGACCATTACGGCACGGCTTGAACTGACGGGCTTTGGGCGCAAATAGCCATTGCAACTGACACGCTCTTGAAATCCAATAGCTAACTCAACTGACGGGCTTCATGGGTAAAAATACCGACCGTGAGATGTTGTCAACGGCAACACACTGCACGAACGATAGAAGCTTAGAAAGGAAGCGGCAAAAGTGGCAAAGTACAACCACCAATACAGTCGTGCCGGCAAGACTGCCAGGAGACTGGTTTTCCGTGTTCAGCCCTGAACACGTCAGCAAGATCCGCCTTACTACTTGTCACCACACCATCGATGAAGCAACTTTTGACAGCAAGACACACTACTAAACGCATGTCATTCTGCGATTCTCATCACCAACAGCAGGCCCTCGACTGGATTTCAGCCTCTCAACAACACTGACAGAACGGCGCGCTGTCCGCGTTCTCGTCAGCGACGGCTGTGAAACGGTCGCATAGATGCGCCTCCGACAAGTACGGTTTGACACCAGACTACCAAGGTATCGGCGGAGGTCGCCCCGTGCGCCTGCGACAGGTGCGGTTGACACCAGACTACCAGGTATCGGCGGAGGTCGCCACGATGCGCCGGCAGGTGCGGTTTGACACCAGACTACCGAGGTTCGGCGGAGGTCGCCACGGATGCGCCGGACAGGTGCGGTTTGACCAGACTACCGAGGCATCGGCGGAGGCCGCCACGGATGCGCCTGCGACAGGTGCGGTTTGACACCAGACTACCGAGGCATCGGCGGAGGTCGCCACGGATGCGCCTGCGACAGGTGCGGTTTGACACCAGACTACCGAGGCAT